TTTGGATACCACCACGCTTCCGCTGCGCAAACAAGAACGTTGGACACTTCAGCTTGCAAATTCTTCAACTTGGCTACCCCCTTAAGAAAAGATGAACTAAGGGACACCAAAGTATAGCTTACATCTACTTCTTTTAGATGTGCTAACTTGTATCAAAATGTTCTGGCATCCCAACGTTACTCTTGTATATGGACAAGAAACCTGAAATTCCCCGCGAGACAAAAAACAGCAGTGCAGTAAAATAGTTGTAATTCCCGTTCTGTTAATCCAATGAAGTTGTAGCTTACATCGTTGGAAACCTTATCAAATTTTCCACATCTTCATTATAGAACACTTTTCCAAATTCCTCAGTTAGCTTGGTCGAAAACAGTGCACAACAGAAACTACTCCAGATTCCAAACAGCACAGATGCCTCGCCTTGTGATTTTCGTATCTCCATAAACAACATAGCTATCAAGCTAATTCTTGCGCTCAAAGAAAGATATTGAAGTCTACTTTTGTCCAGAATTTTCTCATGATTTTTTTTATCATCCAAAATCAGTGATATAAACCGAAGAGTGCGGACTGCTCCGAAAAGACAGGATAGGGAAAACAGAAGAAAACCAAATCCCGACTATTTATTTCATTAATCCTTATGCCTTAGGCCTATAACTAAATGAAATTGTGGGAATACCCAACCAGATCATTTCAATCATTACAAAGATTCGAAACAACCATAAGCATAATGATAACTCAACAAACAATAAAGATGCACAATTCAATCATTAACTCAACTTGCGATACTATCGTTTTTCTTGTACTAGGGGTAACAATCTGAAGACTCATCTTAGGATTACGCAAGAAGGTGATGAGGAATAGTTCTAAAAGTATATCAAATCAAGGAGTGAAGATGAGAACAAAGACTTCAAAATAAGCACCAAGGTAGAGACGAATAGCAAAGATAGAGATATAGAAGAGAAGAAAATATCAAGGTTCATAGAGCAAGGGTTTTTGTAGCAACTTATAAACCTTAAAACGACCAGTTTCTACTAGGCTTGCGTCCTACAGTCAACACTGCTCTGATACCATTTTGTCACACCCAATTTTAAGGATAAAATTGAATGCACTAAACTCATGTGTGCCCAGGAATCAGTCACACACACAAGCTGGCAAATCATATAAAGTATCATCACGGTGTCTCATACATCACGAATTATAACATCACATAGACTTACACAACACAGCGGAAGATTAAAAAGATGACACTCTCGTGGAACTCCATCACAAGGAAGGTCAACTGGTTGACCACAAGCCTAATAATCTTCAGGAAATTCCTCATATCCATTGTCATCTGTTACCCATCCGGGATTTTTATCCAAATATTGAAAAATAAACAAGCGTAAGTACGTCCCGTACTCAACAAGATAACATGGGGTTCATGAGGCTCAAAAAGGATAACTCTGGTTTACTGCAGTTAGCACTTTTAGTAGATTCAAGATTTTATCCTCATCTATTATTAAGTTATGCTTAAGCTCCCTTTTAAACCCACATAATCATATATCAGAACCATTTGAGTCATGAAACATCATCATAATATCATCATAGTCATCATGTATGAACAACATTATAAGTAGCCATTTATTACGTGAGAGTTTTTACGGGCGCTCGTAATAAAAGTGAGCACGGCTGTTATAATGATTTGTTACCCTCTGCAGAGGTGGTGCACATTCACCATGAGTCATGATTCCCATATGCCCGGGTTAATTACTCCCATATCACTGCCAAGGTGAGCGAGCAGGGTACACTATGAAGCCATTTCATAGGTTTCTCTAACAAGTTAGGGCCGCTAGGTTTCCTTGGCGAGCAGATGTAGGAACCCCCCTTTCCTATGGCACATATCCATCAGCGGCTATATACACATAGGAACAGGCGGTCCCTATACCCAACGTGGCAAGCCCCATTTGCGCCATAAAGGTAACCTCTAACAAGCTAGAAAAGGTCCTATTACTGAGCTAAAGTCGAGCCATATGACCCTCACGGTTGCCTTAATCGGTACCCAGCTTTTTTGCCGACAGATAAGTCCTTATGGAGGGCCGAGAGCATCATGATCGAAAGTCATTTGCTCCATCGCCCTATAATCCGATTGTTTAAAAGCAACTTTTACCTTTTCTTTCCATAGAATCGTTGTTCAATATGTAGCTCATGTATAGTTAAGTTGAGCACTAGCAAACTACCCATATGCATATAACCCATAGGAGACAAGGAATAGGATAATCAATCACTAGGATGTCCTTACGGGTATCAAAATTAGACACATGCAAATGAGTAATTAATAAAGGTGGATAGGCATCAAGGTAGATCCCATGCTATACTTGCCTTGGTTAGCAAATTCTGCTGGTCCTTTGTTCGTCGAAGAAATCTTGGTCACCGACGCGTTCTCCTCTCACCGTTCAACGCGCGACCAACACGGCAACATACAACATTCCAAAGGCATTCATGCAAAGCAAACAATCCTATAATTAGAACAGTACACCAACAGTATAGAAACAAGATGAAATGTTTATAAAAAGAATCTGTGTCTCGCTATGATCACGTCAACGCGAAGTTCACGAAAAGCGGAGCTAAAGCGCGGAACTTATGAATTAAAGCGGCATTTCCTATAGTACTTTATTTAATTAAACCTAACCATGAAATTTAAAAGTTGCAAAATTGAGTAACAGTGGTACTAACACGTAGCTTATGAAATTACGAAGCTAATGCAATTTGAACGGATCAATTCGGAGCTAAAACGTAGTTTTTATGAGCAAAACAATTCTAGTGCCATTTCTGTAAATACTGAAAACGTATTTTGAACTAAAACAGTGAAATTTACGCTTTCCAAACGAGAGAGCGTACTCGGGGAAATGCGCTAAGGACGGCGGGTTCGATTACATGAAAACAGAGGGTCTCTTTAGCAAAGTTACACGCGAAAGGGTATCTTCTAATCCTGGCCGCAGATCTGGAGATGGACGGCTAGAATTGGCTTGGGGAAGGAAGGCCGGCTGGAACAGTGACACCGGCGGCAAGCTCCATGGCCGGCGGCAGTGTACTCGCCGGAGCGCGCGTTTTGGGGGCCACGGTCCATGGTTTTCCAAACCGAGGGCACCAGGAGGTGGCACGGGTTCATGGGAACTCGCCTAGGCCGGAAGAGTGGCCGGAGGGTGCGGCCGTGGCGGCGGTCGCCATGGCCGGCGGCAAGGAGCCCTGATCGCACTTTGAAAGCGGAGTCAAATAGCCATGAAACACGCTAAAACTGCACTGCGGGGAGATAGAGGGGATCAAGGGGGTTCTCACAGAGGGGAAAAACAGGGTCGGAGATGGCTCGGGACGGCGGCCGCGCGGTGGTTCCGAGCTCGGTGGATGGCGGATCACGGCGTCCTCGGTGCGGCAGATTCCTCGAGCACGGCGGCGCGCGAGGCGGAGGCGGGGAAAGCGGCGAAGGGGTGCGCGTGGAGGTCACGACTCCCATTTGTAGCGCCGGGCGTGGGCGACGTGCCCACATCTGGAAGTGGAGCGGCGGCGATTCTTGCCTTGGCAAGCGGGCGAGCGGTTGTGAGAGGAGGGGACGGCAGCGATGGGTGGGGCAGGCGTCGGCAAGAAGAAAGAAAAGAGGCGGTGGCGGCGCTTACTCGCCCAAGCTGGGCAGTGAAGGGCTTCTTTGGCGAGAGCGAGGCGCGACTAAATTTGGCGGTGGTGGAGAAAAAAAAAACAGCCAGCCAAAAGGAGTCGGGCCAATGAGCCGAAATGAGAGAGAGAGGAGGGAGTGAGAAGGATTTTCCTTTTTCCAAATAGATTCCCAAAATCACTTTCAAATAGATTTTGAATTCATTTGAACTTTGAATCAAGACCAATCATCACAAAGTAAATATGCAGCAGCATGCATGCATCAACATGTTTCTATCCTTATATTTGATTTTATTTTTAATAAAATTATTATTTCCTAAATTCAAATTCCCACAAAATGCAAAATTAATCACTTTCTCCTATTTCAAAAATATGCAAAATTTAGGGTGTTACAAGAACCTAAAAAGCGAAAGGGGACTGTTTTAACACATGTTTGGGATCTACTTGACGGAGATAGGATAGTAGTAAGATGTAATAAGCTTGGACAGCCCATTGGAAAAGAAGGTGGCCTTTTAAGCCAATTTTGGGCACCATAGCAAGAAATGGTGGATTCTTGTCGGTTGGTGCCAAAGATTGGAGAAAAGTTAAGAAAGACTATGGAGAAACCATCATTCAATTTATGCAGGTTAGCTCTTTCTTCGCTCTTAGCACCTACATCAGTTTGTCTCTAGCCATTTTGTTTTTGTTTCAGTTCGAAAATAAACACGATATATCTTGAATAGATGAGAGGTTATTTGGGATGATGATTTGGTCTTTTTATTCAAGTGTAATTGAATTTGTGAAGTGAATTACATCTTAAGTGTTGAGTGCAGAGCGTTTAGCTCATATAATATTGTGAGCCCACGTGGCCAGATGATAGGCAAGAGTTTTTTGGTGCAGATTTCATTGTTTAAAAGATATGATTGTTATCATGTCATGAAGTCAAATTCATTCTTTAGTGACTTTCTTATTTTAGACAAAGTTCTTGTATCCTCATTCATGTGAGAAATGGATATTCAAATCAATTGGAAGAGATGGGAGAAAATACAAGGCAACATTACAAAAGACACTATTTAATCCAAAGAAGAAAAGGTCATTTTGAACAAGCGTTGTCTAGATGATATTGTTGAAGCTGAATGGAAGGCCCTAGTAGGATCTTGGAAGTCGAAGAAGGAAAAGTAAGGCACCACTATTTACTTTGTTTGGTATTTTTTACTATCATCGTCTACTATTGTTGATTTCTACATGTATAATGGTTCATTATTTAATAATTTACTTTTCTTGTAGACCCTTAGTGAAAAGAACAAAATAAGTTGTGAAATGAGGAAGACAACTCATACTGTGCAGGTACAAAGAGTTATGCTCGTTGGTGCGAGAACATGGTGAGTACATCTTCTCGTAAAAAAAAATTATATATGATTCTTCTTGCTTTTCCTTTACTACTATTTTTTGCAGAGGCAAGCTGATCCTGAAAAAAACAGCCACATAGAGCAAAGGTTTATCTAGCCACTCATGGGAAAAGGGAAAAGGGATAAATGAGCCAGTGGTATGCTACATGCACATGGGAACTTTTTGCAATATATAATTATTTCTTTTTCGATGATGTCTGGATTTCATTGTTGTAGGTTCAATTGGAAAATCTCCTAGACACACAACCAGAGTTAGCACAAAATAGTGAGGCGGAGTTGCATGGGAAGGTGATGCATTACATCGGTGTTGGGAGAAGAAAAAAATTTGGACAAGTGCACGGCATGGGATTGCTTCCGGTTCCTAAACAAGTTTATGGTCGAAAAACACACCATTTTAAGGACATTAATATAGTTTCACTAGATGGCTCATCATCTGATGTAGAGGTTCACATGTTGGAGGAAATAAGGCAACTCAAAGAGCATTCTAGAATGCAAGACAAAGTTATCAAAGAACTAAAAAACAATCGGAGGCACAATGAGAACCAAGAAGCAACAATGGTAAGAATGTATGACTTAATTTTGTAACTCTGTATTGAAATGCGTTATTCAAACTTTATATCTTTTCTAGGGAAATTGTGCTAGGAGTGATCACAACAATTCTCATAATCAAGTACTGAATTCTAAAAAAGAAAGGTATTTGCACTATTTTCCATGTTTTCACCTAAACTAGTATTTTGGCTTTAATATCCTTTCAAAATTTTAGAGAGTCCGGTGTGGTGCACCCAACAGAATGAGGGATTCCTCAAACATAGGGATGAATTGGTAAAGTCACCCTTGCTTGTGAATTTAATGCTTATGCATTCATAAAGGATTTTATAACAGCTAATGCTACTTGTCTTTTTACATTTACTAGAATAAAGAAACATGTGAGTTTGAATTTAGTGATGATGACAATGTACTTTTATCCGGAGAAAAGGTTATCAACTGGTTTCTTGTATTTAAGAACAACAATATACTCTTAGTTTAGTACATGTTAATATTTTACCTACTAATTATCATTTGAGCGATTTTGAATTGGAATCGAGTGCCAAAGTGATAATAATGACAAGGAAGTAGAAGAAGCAGAAGCACAGGCAATATTTGAACGACACCTCCATAATGATTTTGCACCAACAGAGGTACACTATTTCAATGTACCATTGAATAAAATATATTAGACTTGTAATGATAGTTATTTAAGATGTCTATAACAGGTGTATAAATACAATTGCCTTTCTCTTCCGTTCGGTTTGATTCTTGTCAAAGGAGTTCCATACACAAGTAGAATAATACCAAAGAAACAAAAGGTATCTATGAACCACACTTTGCTATAATTATAGTAGATTTTGTGTCTTATTATTTTGTACTTTCATTTGACATGTGTAAGGGACATCACGGAGGGCTTGTAGATACTAGAACCATTGCACACCAGGAGGTGGCTCATGACAAGGCTACAAGCTACAGGCGCCAAACACCTAAACGACTTTCTCTAATGAAGGTAGTTGAACATATCACTTGTTCTAAATGCATGATCACGATGTACAACTAAAGGGTTGTTGGTCACTAAGAGATTATGTCAAATTAATATAGGTTGGGTCCACAGTGCTACTAATGACTTCGAAATATCCTAATAAGGCTAATGTGGCATATGCAACTCTCTTGAGCACTAATCCAGAAGCCCTTGTTGGTGGAGTTAAGATAGGAAGTCAATTCTACAAAGTGCGTATCAATCATCCTATAACAAAAGATTAGCCATTAGTGAGGCCTATGCTTGGGTGCGACAATATTGGTGATGCTCATGCCAAAGGAGTCCAAATTGCTTGGCCTTCGATGTTTGTATGTTCAAAACTATCTTTCCTAACTTTACATCAATGTATATATGTGCCTTAATTTGTAATGTTACAACTTAAATTTTCTTTGCAGGTTCAAATGATTAATGGTTGAATTCCTACATCAATGCGCACAGGAAGAAGCAGTGGACTTTAGGAATCATAGCTAGTTCTTGAATTTTTCTTTCTAGTATGGACTACGTGTGTTTGCTCTCTTGAGCCATATCGTTATGTACATATACTACGATTTGTTCTAAACAAGCACTATGTTTGAGATCATTCCACAATATGTGGATCATGCCATGATTATGGAAATTTGTGGTTTATGTGATTTTACAGTGTGTCATATTTGTGCGATTATATAATAATCCTTGTGCCATATGTATTGGAGAAATAAATATGTGTTTCATAATCCGAATATGTTGCAATAGATATAAAAAAGTGTTACAAACCATGTGTTGCTTTGTTTCATATACTGTGCTCTACCGTAATGTGGAAGTGTTACTAGAACTAAAAAAAGTGTTACAATAGACATTCTTGTAACACTATGCAAATGTTACGATAGATAAATAAATGTGTTCCACACTATGCATTCTACCATATTGTTAAGTGTTACTAGAGCAAAAAAAAAAGTGTTACAACAAAAATCATTGTAACACTAGACAAGTGTTCCTGTAGACAAGTAGTTGTGTTACAATAAACCAGTCTATTGTAACATAGCCAATTGGAACACAAAAGAAAATATATTACTAAGTGAGCTAGTGAACACTTTTTCCAATATACAGTAACACAAGTTGGTGTTACTATATCCCTGCGCTGTAGTAGTGGCTGCACCTCCTCAGTGACGGCCCATCCATTGCATCCTTGTCTTCTCGCTGCGTTGTCGGACCTGGTACAGTAGTGGAAGTCGTAACAATGAGACTGCACTATGTCTAGCGAAGGATAGTGAGAACTCTGATATAAAAAAAACATGGTCTATAAACAAATATAGGTCATATACAATGAAGATAAAACGATAGAACAATATCAAAGATCATATTAAAAATCCTGAGAAGCCTCCATTTTCATGAACACAAGGCTAATAAACCTGGTAAAAACATTCATATCCATGTGAGCGCGACCTGGGGCAACAGCGGAGGAGGCACTCTAGTCCTTGTGAGCGCGACCCGTGCAGCGTTTGGTGGCGCGATGAGTGAATCTGGCGGTCACAACAGCCCAAGGGAGAGGGGTGCGTGGATCGGTAGCCCCTGACCGTGAGAGCGCGGCAGAGCAGGCACTGAGCTGCAGTGATTTCATTTCATTTATGTATCCTGTATCCTCCTTCCTTTTCTCTCATAGCTCGTTCAGAGACACGGCCTAGCTTTCCTTCGGATTCAGGTATTCACATTGCGTGATTGTATATTTTTTTCACCTTAGGTGTGGCAGTGAGCAGTGGTAAACCCCAAAAGTTTCTAGACCCTCGGTGAAATCACAGGTACACAAGCGATGCTGCTCCACTGCTGCACATGCCTTTAGGACAACTGACCATTAACAACACCTCTATTAGTGCATTTAGGACATATTACCAACAGTGGCAACTATACTAGCATGAAAAATGATCCCGTGTAATGTAAACAATCGGCAGTTTCACCACATCTACCACCTTCTCGACCATGACTTGTTTGAAGAAGTCTTCGGTGACATTATCAGATGTCAAGCCCTCACTGACATTAACACTCTGTACAAGGAGCATGTCATGGCACTGCATATTTGGTGGTGCCGCCTCCTGTGCTCGCAACGTGACAGATATATAGCGCTTGGAACATGGTGGCATAATTCCTATGTTTGGCTCTGCGTAGTACTTGGTTCTATTGGTCTTTATGTTAAATGCAATGTAGTCGTCCGTCTTATTTGTCAGTTGAAGGCAGCATGATATGTCCTTCCTTAGTTCGAATAAGAAGCGCAGCTCCAGGGTTGGATCGACAGCAAGAATGTTGGAGTCAGAGCTCTGCTGCAAGAAGAAGGGATTAATGCAGTGTGGTGGTAGATCCAAACTCTACAAATATTATGGTTTGCGATCTTAAGAACATCTAGGCTGGGCAGCCAAAAAAAAAAGGAACAACCATGGCTTGGGCTTTATGTGAGTGTGGCAAAAAAAAAAATACCCCCAACATTCCATCTAGATATACATTATGTCTAGATATAGCTTTTTACTATGTATCTACTATCTAGAAAAGCTAGAACAACTTATAATTTAGATTGGAGGGAGTATTATTGTTTTTCCTTTTTTTTAGTTCCTATAAGGAATAGTATGCTTTTGGTGCCTGGTGGAGAAGGTGCAGTGGTAGATGTGGTGAAACAGCAAGAGATTGTTGTCTGTAATGTAAACAATCAGCAGTTATGTGCCAGCTAGCAGACCATTGGAGAAAGACGATGTAATACTTGGCCACAGCAGCTATGTGTAAACAATCGGCAGAGATGTAGTGAAACTGCAAGTTATTACTCAATCGGCAGTGTGTGACCAGTATCACAGCATGGAAAACAATCTCGTGTGTAATGTAAACAATCGGCAGTTTCACCATATACTACCAGGATGATCATACCTGCTGGCCAAGTATCACAGCTTTCGAATGATCTGAAGATAGTGCCATTTTCTGAATCTTAGCTTCTAGTTCTTCCAGTTCATTGACAATGTCCTTTATGTAAGGCCTTTTGTTTCGCTCAGTATCGACACATCGTAATGCTATATCGATGCAAGTCTTCACACGTAGCATGTTTATTTCTTGTGATGAATACCCCAACGTGCCCTGCAGCCTTTCCTTCCAGTTGTTAACTACCTGAGAAATTTGCGGATAAAATTAGAAAGATGGGATGCATGCACATAAAAGTAATACACAGCATAACACATAGTATAACAATATGAATAAAGACATCTCGGTTCCTTACAAACTCAATGAACTGTTCACGAGGCATATCAAAACGGCGGGAGTTGCCATCATTTCCATCCATTATTCTGATAATTATAACTCCCAAACTGAACACGTCAAACTTTCTTGATATATCGCCACTATTTATGTATTCTGGTGGCATGTACCCTCTATATATGTGATATCATAATCATCAAATAAAATAAGGTTAGCCAGAGTGCAATAAAAGGGGAACCATATCCATGTTGCCAGAACAGTTGGCTTGAAATATGGTGCATCAACTTACAGAGATCCTTCGCGAGCTTTAGTTTGATAGGTTTGTGTTGAAGAAACAAGTCTGGACAAACCAAGATCTCCAATTTTTGCCGTCATGTTCTTGTCCAGCAATATGTTAGCAGGTTTTAAGTCCATATGGTAAATAGGTTTCCCCTGTTCACTATGCAGGCGGTTTAAGCCCTCACAGGTCCCTTTGATAATTTTGTAACACGTCAGCCAGTCGAGATCACAAGAGTCAGCTGCAATGGAAAGAAAAGAGACAGGAGCTAATATAAATCTAAGGAAGCATCTCTCTCTCTCTCTTCTATAAGGCGCGCGAAACACTACTCCAGCAAGCGAACAGTATATACCGTACCTAAAATATGCTTATCAAGGCTTCCACCCTCCATATATTCGAAGCAGAGAACTCTCTCCATTACTGTAGCAGCAATTACTTCCCCTTTGTGAGGAAGGAACTTACGGTGTGCTTCGTGGCAGTAGCCAATTAACCGAACAACATTTGGATGATTGATCTTGCTAAGGCTACGGAATTCAATGTCAAACGCCTTGTCATCAAGTCCTTGCAGGGGATGAAGCTTCTTCACAGCAATATCTTGCCCATCATACGTGCCCTGTTGTGATCAAACGCGTGAAACTTGTATCATGCCAAAACAAGGGGAAGCTAATACGCTCTAATGATTAGTCGATCGTTCGTACCCTGTAAACAACTCCAAACCCACCACTGCCAACCATTCGCTCATCTGCAAAATCGCCTGTAATAGTTTTAATCAAGTCTAGTTTAAAGTACGTGCTCTCCGACATGCTTTATCTTGGATCTTGTTCCTGAGACAGAAAAAGAAAAGACATTTTCACTTAAGACGAGAGGATATGTTAAGGATTCACAAAAAGACTAATCATCTCAGCAGCGGCACCCCTGTCTTAGGGAATCAGCTGGCGGCCTGGCATCGGCCTTCTCGCCGGCGGCCGGCGGCAGGTGCTGTGAGCTACGAAGAAGCATTCTGGTACTAAAATTTCGACATGTACACAACTGACCTGGAGGAGGAGATGAGCCTAGCAGTAGGGAGAAAGAGTGGTTTGCTCCTTGCGGATGAAAACTGCTTTGCTCCTTGCCGATGAAGATTAGTTTGCTGCAGTTGATTTACACAAATGACCCAGAACTTTGTACTTAAACATTTAGGACTCCGATCCGATAGTGGGAACCAGTTTGGTCCACCCCTTTTCCTTCATCCAAGCCAAGCCATCACTCTCTTTGCTACTTGTTTTGTGTGAGATTAGCTACTATGACTTTGCTTCCTTCGTTTTTTTTATAAAAAAAAAATACTAGAAATCATAATCTTCCTCCAAGACTTTGACCTGGCAAGTCTACACCTAATGCACACATAACCAAGATGCTTTATACATTGATTGATAGCGCCAAGTTGAATTATATTTGAGTATTGTTGTCCATAAGTCTAGTTCATCGAAGAAGCCAATTGACAAACACTAAGTCAGCATACCTATTACTAACATTTTTTTCGTGCTATTAATTATGCCCTCCTAACGCTCACCTACACATTCTTGCATCACTAGAGGGTGGATATGGATCAACAATCGAACAACACTCCAGCATAGATTACTCATCCATTTGATTGTTAGTTGACGGAAGCTAACCTCTAGGGATAAATAAGATATTGTTTGGATCCGTAAAAATAGAGAATGAAGTACAAAAATGCGAATGACATTTAAACACTTGCATTTTAGAAAGAGAATATAGAAATCAACTATCTATCCAAATCTTGCTATTTTTAATAAAAGAACATTTTTATTTATTCAAGACCATTACATCGAGTCGTTGATACAAAAATCATGAACCCACTTTTGACCTCCATATAACAGCGCTAGCACACAACCTTAAAAACATAAAAAGAAGAGCTTGTCACTCAAATAACTATCAATCCTAAGACTATATTGTCATCCGTGTGCCCGGAAGAAAAATACCATGACCACTCTCTACTACGCCAATTATATTGTTGTGATGCCATTGGCTTAGAGCCTATTTGGACCACAGCTAGATTATTATAATCTGGATTATGTATAGGATTATTGTAATCATCAAGATTATAATAATTGAAGTATATGGTGGGTCCGTAGATTATGTGGTTGATTATAATTGGTTAAAGTGAGGAATTTATATCATATCTTATTCTTTTAGTTTGGCAAGTTCGACAATTGATTCGTTGGGTGGGGGGAGGGGGGAGAAAGAGATTTAGACTTTCAACATCCATAATTCCTCTAAAACCTAGCTTCACTTACATTTTCGTCCTCACTTCGTATAAAAGGGTTAATCCAGGGGTCCTACGTTTGGAACAACAAGTAAGCTGGCTCTCACCCTCCTAAACTTCTAAGGTGGTACTAAACCCACCAATCACAACTCCTCACGTGCTATATGGGGCTCATGAGCCAACCACGTAACTACAACAGGCTACTAACGGGATGTGGTGTTTCATCCATATCTAATACTAAAGTACGGAGTGTTTCTGTGGTTTGTCATTCTCTCCGTACCCGTTCGAATTAGAGCAGCACGTCAGGCATGCTATAGATTCCGATCCCAAGATAGATTGGAATACAGAGAGTTTCCATACTCTTTCTCTTTCTCTTTCTCTTGCACGTAGAAATAAGAGGCTGCGTGTTTAGACACGGTACTATGCAGAGTTGTATGTATTCTAAGATGATTTGAGACGTTTGACGTGATCGTTGGCTAAAATATACAAATCGTGCTCATATTTGTTACAGCAGCATGTGTCCAGACACAAATACAGAATTTGATTCAAAGATGAATTGGAATGCATGATGCCATCGCTGAATAAGTCTACTAGACGCAAAGTCATCCAGATGATAATGCAACAAACTATACGTTCTGTTGCAACGCAAATGCATGTTAGCTAGTAAAGTGTAAATGCTGAAGCAGCAACGCAAAAAATTATATATGTCCTTACCTACTACTTCAGTTCCATCATCTTTTGCCCTTTGCTTTTTAACAATAGAAATCATTAGCATGACTTTGACCTTGCAAGTCTACACACCTAACTAATACACACGTCGCCAAGATGCTTTATAAATTGATTGTACCAAATTGAACTTGAGTATTATTATCCATGAGTCTAGTTCCTTGAGGAAGCCAAGCCTTGTTTATACTTACACCTTTTCAACCAAGCTATGTTAGCAAACCAAGCATGGAGATTGTTGACAAAGCCCAGATACCCTCTGTGGACAAGTGTTGAAAGCCAAGTATTTCACAAATAAAAACATTTTGCCATGTATTGCCCGGGATGAAATTTCATACTCGTGGAGCTGTGGGGAACAGAACTGTTTTTTGAGGGATGGGGAACAGAGCTGTTAAAAGAAGTTATTATATGCAGTATTGGAAATGGTACTTCGGTGAAGATATGGTCAGATCCATGGATGCCAAGAGATATAAAAAGAAAACCTGCAACGCCAACAGGCCGCTTGTTGTTATCAAGGGTGTCAGATTTAATCGATCCTTTCACAGGTGCATGGGATGAGCAGCTCATATATGATAACTTCTGGCCTGATGATGCTGAAACCATAATGGCGATTCCTGTAGAACCTTTAGAGTTGGACTCGCCAGCATGGCACTATGATTCCAAGGGAAATTTCTCTGTCAAACCGACATATAAATCAGTTGTGCAAATCAGAGACAATTTTCTCCAGAAAACTGCATCAGGATCCGGCTCATATAATTGTTCAAACGGAGAATTCTAGTGGTATCAGATTTGGCAATAGAAGGTTCCAAGTAAGATCAAAATGTTCACTTCGAGACTAGCTCACAACCACCTTCCAGTGTGTCAAAATATTGCAAGGAGGGGTGTCAAACTAGATACAGTTTGCCCAATATGTACTTGCCATGATGAAAATTGTAGCCACCTATTTTTCAAGTGCAAGAAAACAAGAGACTGTTGGCAGGCACTAAATCTAAGCTAGAAGATATACGCCAAAAGCTTGTACAATGCAAATCAGGAACAAAAGTCGTTGATTCAATTGTTCGGATGGAGCAAAGTATTCATCACAAGATTCTGATTCTCCTGTGGCAATGGTGGTCAGCGAGAAATAAAGTTAATGGAGCGGAGAGAATGGTTTCTGAAGCGGAAATTTGTAGCTCTGTTATATGCCACTTCAAGGTTTGTGAGAAGCTTCAAGATCAACTAAAACCTGCAATGCATCTTCAGGTTAGCTCGATCCCACCACCTGAAGAATTATACTTCCTTCGTTCTAAATTATAAGTCGTTTTGATTTTTCGAAATACATCATTCTTACTATATATCTAGACATAGCGTATATAAAACCTATGTACCTAGAAAAGCCAAAATAGCTTATAATCTGCAATGGAGGAAGTACAAGATAAATGTTGATGCCTCCTTCCATGCTAATGCTGCCCAAGGCGGCTGGGCATTCCTAATCCATAACCATGAAGGAGTGGTGTTGCAGAGGATTTTATTATTTTTAATCCTATTTTAATCAATATCTTAATACTAATTCAAAAAAGTATTTGCACAAACGGACACTTTTGGTCGGGGCTGGTGCGACAGTACCACGTGTCGCGCCACATGCGCTGGCGCGACAAGCCAAGCCACGGTGACACCCGTCGTTGACTGAGCCAAGACAGTGAATGCTCGACGTTGGCTGGGAGTAGTTAGTAGCACCGGCACTCCACAATGGTATTTAGGAGGATTGGCTAGACGGCGCAAAATAACGTCAACCTTCTCTGCCTCTGTCATTTTCGGAGGGTTCAATGGCGGCAGAACCCAATGAATAAATTCTAGATATGGAATGCTCTTCCAGTGGTCATAAGGAACAACATAATCGACGGATTGAATATTTCATCGCCATCGATCCACTGATAGAAGCTGCATCCCTCTAGATAGGCATCAAGTGTTGGGGGACGACGCTTAAGTTGGCAACAATAGAAAGCACGTTCAGCTGAAGCGGGATGCCTTAACTGCTTCACAAATGCCAGTAACACAACGGTGTTGGCTCTGCTAGTAGGAAAGGACCTATATCACCATGATCATTCGGATGGTGCACGAATTGGTTCTTATTTGGAACCGCCATTGAACCTATTACAAAGTAGATGAAGAAACCAAGGATATAAACCAATACTACTACACAGTCGAACAACAATTTCCATCTCAATCATCTCTATAATCATGTAAGCCCATGAAGCCAAACCCTAAAACAAACTTATTGAATGTAATGATGTCTATACATACATAGTCCAACTCATCTATACATCTAATCACCAAAAAAAAACTTCAAATCACACATTTACTAGAAAGTTTACTAACAACGGTCCAACTCATACTGTTGTCTAAACCATTGCAGTCAAACCATAATGTAGTGCCAACCAAAACCAATCACAAAAATCATAAAAAGTTCAACAACTACAACATAAACCATAATATATTAAACGTGATTAGCCAAAGCAACTTTTATTAAACAAACGAAAGCCAGTATTGCACATAGCAGTGTAAACCAGAGCAGTATATAAACATCAACTAAACACAAAAAAAATAGAGGTGACGGAGCCATACCTCATGCACGAGACCGATCAAACCCGAAATGCAAATGCAAATGCAAACTTGATCAAAGGCAAATAGAGGATGGGAGGAAGAGAAGAGAGAGAAGAGAAAGAACTGAGGTCACCTCGAGCTCGGCCAAAATGAAGGGAGGAAGAAGAGAGGGAGGAAAAAGGAGGTGGGTCGCGCCCTTATATGGGCCTGCCGCGCCCGGCCAGCCTGGCGCTACAACGCTGTCGCGCCGGCCAGCCTAGCGCTACAATGCTGTCGCGTCGGTGTCGCTGGCGCAACAGGATGGGACCCACGCTCCGCCACGCCAACTACGGCCAACGATGGGCGGCACCGTGGTTCGGCTTGTTGTGCCAGCGCATGTGGCGCGACAGCGTGGTATTGTCGCGCAAGCCGCGCTAACACGACCAAAAGGGTCAGTTTTACAATTATTTTTTTTGGAATTAGTATTAAAATATTGATTAAAAAAGATTTAAAATATAAAAAATTCCTGTTGCAGATTGGCGCAGGAAGTCTTAGAAGAAGAATCTCCAGTTCCCTACATGCTGAAGCTATAGTAGCTCTACGAGATGAGGACCAAGCGTAGCTCGCGTAGCTCGCTCGGCAGGTGTGCCAGCGGCTGGGCGTGAGTTCGATCTCCGGGATCGACAGTCACGTGCTTCACGGGGGTTTTCCCCAATAATAAATTTATAGGTCCTGGAAATCTGCAGCCTTATATGTGAATGCGTCACAATGGTCAGAGTGACGTGCCCGTCATGTGCGAAGCCTCGAAGACTTTAGATATCTCTCAGCCACATGCAGTCTCTTCGTGCAGGTGTAGATCTAGCTTGTGCACTAGGCTGTGTGTGAGTTTATGTGCGTGTTGTGGGTGAGTTCAGATGCTACAACTTATACTCGAAGAGTTGAGGCATAAAAAAATAGCTCTATGAGGTGCTGAAAAGGCTATTCAACTTGGTAGGGATGGATGCAGCAAACCTCGGCGATGCTCTTAAATGAACGAATTGGGACAGGAGCCCATATGGCTACTTATTGAGGAAAATTAGAGGTTTCATGGAGTATATGAATTTAACATATGTGTAATCTCTGTTTGCAATAAGACTGTCTAGCTGCTTATGGTGCATGTATGGAAGGTGTAGAGGCATGTATGTATACTAATAATGCACCAGAATTTGTAACTCAATTTTTATTCTGTTCGCTTGGCTGATAAACCAAGGCTGAAAGTGGCTGATTTGTTGTGAAAAAAAATACTGTTCATTAGATAAAAAAAATACGGCTTATAAACCAAACGAGCAGGCCGTTCTCTAGCGAGATAGGCCTAGAGCCAATGTTTAATGGAAGCTTTTCTTTCAAAAAAAAAACCATGTTTAGGCTTTCAACCTCTGCCGCTGCTTAGAACTTCGTTCCTGATGCCATCGTCACTCTGATCTTGGCACTACGTTGGGCATCACGCGGCTCCGCCAGACCCGTTTAGGCCTTGGACAAGCAAGTCCTGTGTCATCAGGAAAACAGGAAGCAAGGTCCGTCTTCGGCTTGGAAGCCGCCGTCTGTTCCGTCGGTGCTCCTTGACGCACGGCGGCATCTTCAATCTGATCCTGCAACGAATATACCTTCGCAAAGTAAAGCAGGTGAGCCCAGAAAACAAAACATAATAGAAGCTGAGAACAAATTTGTGTCTCAGACTCAGTTCTCCTAGGTAGTCGTAAGGTTAGGGTAGCCTAGCGAACTCTGAGTCGGATAGATGCAGATGTCTTCCTAATCCCGTACTGTCCATGAAGTTTTGTAGATAAAGACATTATAACTACTTGATGAAGATTAGGGATAGTAAATTCATCGATTTTGGTACGGAACGTATCAGGTGCAAACCAACTAACCTGTGTAAACTTGGAAACTACCGATCAGGACCACTAGATGCTGATCGAGTGGGAGGTGAGATTTTTTTGCGATTAAGCCGCCCACCCGTCGTCCTTTTTTTTTGCGTTTAAGCCCTCTCACCTCATCTATTGGATCAGCATCCAATGCTCCTGATTAGTAGTTTCCAAATTTGTACAGATTGATTGATTTGCACGTGATATGTTGCCAAATATCATTGTTTAGAGCAATATGCAGTGCAAATTGGAGTCAAGTCAACTCTGATATTTTGTTCGTTTGTCTGCTTCTAGAGCTAGCTAGTGCAATATTTGACCTTGCTGCATTTAAATGGATGTTGCAGGATGAGATCGATGCCTCGCCGAGGAGCAAAGCACTCTTGTCCCTTCGAGCACCCTCCAGGTTAGTGCAATTCTTGGCAGCCTTCAGCTCAGACCTCAGAGGTCCTTATCATTTAAAATTAGTGAAGGGACGAACGGAAAGTTGTTTCGTTCCATGCGTTCTTATATCCTCAAAAATTGCTACGGCAATAATACCTTACCTCCGTGTTATGTTACAAATTTGAGCGGCGCATGGAGTTGCGACTCGGTTTCTGCGCTACCATTCGCATCGGCAAGAATCTCACTGGCTCGTGTCACAGCTGCTGGCAAAGGATGAATAACTCTTTCTGAATGTCTCTCATCTTATGTAAATATTTTCTTTTTTGTTTGTATCAGGAACATTATAAGGTTATAAGACTGGTGGAAGATATATAACACCTACAACATGAATTTTGATCTTGGATATATAAAACGTATTACTGACAATTTTTCGGAGGCGCGGAAGGTTGGCAGTGGTGGGTACGGAGATGTTTACAAGGTATACATATGGCTAATCATTACACATCTCTCTAGTTTCCAAATGTTTATTTCCACCGGCGACTAGAAAAAGGAAATCATGACAAATTAATGAGAACTGACTTGTACAGGGAGAACATTACGGGGAGGATATTGCTGTGAAAAGGCTTCACCCCTTGCAAGGACTTGATGATCTGGAATTCCACAATGAGTTCCACAACCTTGCAAAAATCGACCATCCAAACATCATACAGTTAATTGGCTATTGTTACGAATCACAGCACAAGTACGATGAGGACCATGGAAAAGAAGTTTTTGCAAAAACACTAGAGCGAGTTCTGTGCTTCGAATATATGCATAGTGGAAGCCTTCAAACTTATATTGAAGGTATGATCTATATGACTCCAAACTTGTCGCTCGTTTTTTTTTTTATTAAAAAAAACAGAACGTCCGATTTTGACACCATAGCTATACAGAGCATCGATGCCCATTAGGCCATTACTTTCTATCTCTGCGCCACGGAAATGATGAGGAAGTTCCTTTCACACCCGAGATATCAAGCATCTGATTACCATTGTTTTTTAGCCCATGTCTGTGGAAGTCATGAATCAAGTTTTGAAGTTTTTAAATTTCATCTTATTAGTTCAGTTGAAACTCTTGTGTTTACTGATTTTTTATGCAAAATCTTATTTTGTATTTTATTAAAAATAAGGATTTCAGATCGCTGAATGGACTTTTAATTACTACATGTCATCAGCTCTTTTAAGCCTACACCAAGGTGCTAAAGAACGAGGGGCCAACATCGCTAACCTTAAGAGTTAAGAGGATACTAATATTTAAGCTTAAATGATCTCAAAGACTAGAAAGGTCATAGCCACCTTTAGTACGTCCGCACTAACATCATCCATTGCTCAATATTTTGAATTTTTTTCAAAAAAAATAATACTATATGTGCAGTAGTATTTTCATAAAACAATAGAGGTCTCACAATTATACTATCAATATGAATATATTATAATGTTTCAGTTAAATTTTATAGTTTTTCTAAAACTAAAATCAACACTTACCTAAACTATTTCTCATGGATATTAATACAATTTTGTAATTTGTTAGTGTCATTGCTTTATTGGCATATGAGACATTAAGGAAATATTTCTCATGATTGTTGAAACATAAACTATGTATTTACTGCATTGCATGTATATATATTTGATCTGCATATGATGGTGTACATTTACTTTAAGTTGTTTTATATATATTAATAATAATATAAGCGGGTAATAATTTATACAAATATATAGGCATAATTTATGGTTGAAACACTTTTCATTATTGAAGACGTTGGAAGTTTAGATCTAGATTTCAGGGGATATTTAGTTTATTTTAATGGTAGGTAATACTCTCTAAAGTAGGTAATACTTTCTAGTTTTCTAGCAATCTGTAGTAGTAACTCATGATAGCTCTATATGATTGGGGTTTTATTACTTTCCTCTTGCAGACAAATGGTGTTCACTTGATTGGCCCATTTGTTACCGAATTATTAAAGGGATTAGTGTGGGTTTAAATCACCTGCATAATGCCAAGGAACATCAATTTTGCATCTGGACTTAAAACCTAGTAATATATTGCTCGACAAGAACAAGGAGCCCAAAATTGCAGATCTTGGTTCATCAAGACTTGGTGCTTCTATAGAAACTCAAGAATCGGGGACTCTAAAAGGAACAACACTGTAAGTAGATTGATCACGGTTTTCTGCAGATTATAAATTCTATCATGCTTTAAGACATTGATTATTATATTCTTTTCTATTGTACTAACAATACTTGTGATTTTTATGGTATCTGCAGAAAGTACACGCCACCAGAATGCAAATATGGTGGCAATAATGTATCAATCAAGTTTGACGTGTTTAGTTTTGGAGTTATAATTCTTGACATCGTGGCTGGACAAAATGGCTACTCCCGTCGTTCTAAAATGCCTCATGAAGTGTTTATTGAGCTTGTAAGAAAAATCCTCTCAATTGAACTGAGATTTGTATTTTTGCATCATGCTTTGTGTGTTACTCCAACCGATCTCATATACAAGCTGAAATTGTGGCAGCCAAACATATTTTAGGTTTGAGCATCGGTATAGAAAGAAGCACTAATGCTCAGTGGCGGACCCAGGATTGGCCAAGACTAGGGCCAAATTTTAGCGGCAAAAAACCAAAAGCTACGTCAATAGTCTATATAACCATACGTATATGTGTTTCACATATAAAAACTTCTCAAGAAGAGTTTGCAAATCAAAAGAAGTTTCTTCAACTATATAATTAGTAGTACGATACAATAACTAAAGAATATCATGAAACATTGAAAAATAAATATCTAGTGACGATTTGGTGCATTCGCATTGTCGACTTCCATGTCCCCAATAACAACTTAATTTACTTGGACAACATATACAGGTTAATACGATGCTAAATTCCAGGTCCTCTTCATCTTCTGTACTGTAATTTTAGAATGTAACTGGAAATTGGAATAAAAAATTGACAAACTGCATAGGGTTGAAATTGGAAAACCAGATGCAAACCAAGGCTGCAGCTGCACTAGTGCTCTGTTCTTGTCTTCCTATTCTGCTGTTCGCCTGCTCCGGCTTGTGCTTGGCTGCTTTGGCTTGGCCAGCGCCTAGTGGGCAGCGGCCCCTGGACGCCTGGCAGGCACCGTCCAGCGACGGCCACTCCGCAACCGAGCGGGGCGGGGCGACCACTGCTGGGGCGCTGGGCAGCGGCCGGGGGGCGGCCGTCGAGGGGCGGAGCGCAGAGCGGAGGCGGGGAGCGACGCGACGGAGACGCGAGGCAGCAGGCGGCCTTGCTCAGAATGGCGTTGCCCTATTCCCTCCCTTGGCTTAGACTGCTTTGTTGGGCTGATGTCTGATGGGCCAAAAATTGAAGAATTGCTACCCAGTTACTTGGGCCACAACAAGGGCCATGGCCTTAGTTGCCCTAGTGTTGTGTCCACCCATGAATACACAGCAAAAAAAAATACAAGAGCACTTAGACTCACACCTCAACAAAGAGGAGAACACACACCTAGAAGAGGAAAAACTATGACCTCAGCACATCCCTGCTTCCAAACATCCTCTCATGAAACGCCAGATTCGGCAAGCGGAAGTCGTCAAGTCGCCGCCGCCCCTAGTGCACCATCGCTACGAACCTCTGCTGGTGCCATCTCCATCCGCTTCAAGTGAGGTGAAGCCACGTGTCGCCGGTTAGCCCACCTTCATCCGTCATTGTCCAATCAGAACTAGCATCAAAAGCGAGCCGACAAGATCCGCTTCCGCTTTGCCGGATTTCAAGGCCTTTAGTGCCTATAGGGTTGTCATTCAATTACCAAAATCAAACTAGAGCTTTCAGAAACACCAACTGAGGCTGGCCTTATATCCTCTGGTTCATGCCAATGCTTCGCGTTCTATGAGAGTTAAATACCTTTGCATTTAATCACCTTTATTAATGGCTCATGGGAAAGAGTAGAATACCATATTATTGAGGGGTACTTATGTTTTTCCCCATGAGTAGTAATCTATCCTTAAAAAACTTTAAATGCCCCTATTTGTGGCACGGAGGAAGTAGATGTTAATATATTTTTTAAACCTTAATCAAAGTTAGAAGAGTTTGGCTTAGGGTGCCTTTGGCGATGAGAAAGCGTATTAGATTCTTAGTAGAATCACCTAGAATCTCTGCCAAACGCCACAAGGAGAGAAATGATTCAGGAAAAATCACTTGGAACCAATTCTTGTTTTCGTACTAATGTAGAGAAACACCTAAATCCATCGAGCAAGCCAAAGCGGTTACGAAGTGATTCTCATTCATCGGAGAAACAATTACGAAGAGAATATGGATCCAAAAGCGTTTCAACGAGAATCTAAAACCTTGCTAAGAGCATCTCCAAGAGTTTCCAAACCCATTCCCAATCTTGATTTTTGGCAAGATTGAAAAATACCGCTCTCTGACAACTCCCTATCTCAACTCCCAATATTTCCGCACTTGGGAAGATCGACTCGATGTCGGCGTGGAAATATCTGGCGCACGTATCGATCGGCCAATTTGGTGGTGGAATGGTGTGGGAAGAATAAAGAGTAGGACATAGTTCCTAATGCAAATGTGCATGAGACAAAGAAAAGATAAAAGTGGATAGGGTGATTTGGAAATAGTTTAGGGTTCACGATGCACAATTGCCTTTTATATTTTAAGAGCGATGTTTTGGAAACCGTTGGAGAAATGTGCTCCCAACTTTTTTAGCCACTTAGAAAACTCATTGATTTATCAATCGACTTTTACAATTATTGGAGATGCTCTAGATGCGCACTTAGTACAAACTAAAACGATCTATACTGATCTTCACTTTGGAATGGATGGAGCAGTTTGGAGCATCTCTAAGAGACTCTCTATATCCTTCCTAAATGTTAGGAATAGAGATTTTGGTGAAAAACTATCATCCAACAGTTTTTCTAAATGGTCATCAAATATAGCCATCTTCTATTCCGGATTTTTTCGCTAGCCAAAAATAGAAGAGCGAGAATGTCTCTAGAATGCGCATGAGATATAGAAAGACTGGTGGAGAGTGAAAAGATATAGAGAGCGATTTTTATGCAAATGACTCTCCAAATGATGATTTAGAGAGTGAGATTTAGAAATGCTCTTGAGATGCTCTTACAAAATCCAGAGGATGATGCGTTCTTGTGTAGGATGTGAGGAGACGAGAGTGTGACGTATCATTATCTACACCGATCAGGGGGGACACTGCGAGGTGGGTAGTTTATCTAAGGCTTAAGCTAGGGAAGGGGGTATAGAATGGTAATTTCTATTTCTATGGAATCGAACCCACCAATACGGTCTTTTAGAAGCATTGTAATAAATATATTTTTATTGCTATTTTAAATAAACTGGTGATCAGAATTTCGTCTAATTTTCACCACCATATGAATGTCCGAAACTACATATAGATTGGGTTTTATTAGTAGGAATCTTCTTTTCTTTTACGCACGTCCCTCTTTTCTGACTTAGTGTACCAATTTTGCAGGTGTGTGCCAAATGGAAGGGAAGGCTGGAAGCAACGTCGAGTTCCTCATCACACGAACTGGACAACCAACGATTGGAGACATGCGTTGAAATAGGATTAAGATGCACCGAAGATGACCCAAATGAAAGGCCTGCGATAAAAGATATTGTGTGCCAATTGGAAGAACTGGAAGCTAAGAGTAGGAATAAAATGTCATTGGCTTCTTCTGAAGGCCAGTCAAGAGACTTCCAGGTATATATATAATCGTTTTAATGGCATCCATGTACCATTGTACTATCACTGCAAAATGGAATGTCCACATTGGCTGTGCTAACTAAGGAGTAATAACTAATTCTATCATGTTTAACTATTATATATAAAACAATTGCAAAACCAAGAAATACCATCATTTGATAAACTTTTTGACTCAAATTAGTTATGCAAAAGAAAATATAGAATGAAATAATAGTCTGTGTTTATCTGTCTCTCTTATCCAATTGTCATATCTATATATACATATATATTACAGCTGACTCTTCGATGAATTCTTATATATAGTACTATAGTACTCCATAAATGCTTAACCAACTCATATTGTTTTACTAGTAGACAGTAGTATTAATATGGTTTGTAAGAACCCTAGCTAATTTGGTATTCTCTAGAACAAATATTTCCCAAAAGAGGAGAATGATGGGCCGTCCCACAAGAAAAGTGAATGGACAACAGAGGAAGCGGAGGCAGCAGGGAAGGAGCCTGAGGCACCACGCAAGGAGGCTGCAGAGAACTGCTTTGGTGAAGTAGTGGACAACAAGATGCTGGACGAAGTGGCGAGGTACACGGGCAGACCCAAGACACAGGAAGATCGGGCAAGGGTGGCCTGGTCTCTTATAACCCATGATGACAAGAAGGGCAATGCATCCAAACGTGTGGACGTCCTTAAGGCCATGTACGGCAATGGGCAGTCCACACTGTGTTTATTTTACAATGCGACTGGGGACACTCTCCGCTACGTCACCAACCACGACTGGTATGGCTACATCGACAGCAGAGCAGAGTACCCGGCTGAGGTCGGCAACGGACAGTGGGCTGCATTCCTTCATGTCCACAGGCAAGGCGAGCCCTCCGGTTCCGTGGGAGCCGTCGTGTACCGCGGCAAGAAGAAAGATGGCCAGTTCCAGGAGTACATGCTCGCCTGGAGTACCCCCTGGGGTTTCTACTACCGTAACAAGGTACACAAGTCCTAATCTCAGTGGATAATTGTACGTCATATAATATATTCTATACTTATACGGATCACAAAGTTTGACAAAATTATTATTATTATATATATATAAAAAGATTGCTCTTCACAAGAAAAAGTAGTTGATTTTGAAACGTACCAAATAATTATCAAAGAAGTATGCTCTCCATTATAAATTATAATGCATTTTGGCTTTTCTACATATATAGTTTTTATTATGCACTTAGATGTATACTATATCTAGATATATAATAAAAGAAATGTATTTAGAAAAGATAAAACGTTTTATAATTTGAAATGGAGTGAGTACCATATCTACCCCATGCGAGCGAACGAACGGGGTGGCCACAAGTGAACTTATTAATCCTTCGTCGTTTATCCGGTTCACAGAGAACAACAGTTTGGACATAGATTGAATCAAACATTTTTGAAACATTAATCCCCTAGTGTCTCTTTAATTATTTCAGTTAGATGAAGCAGCAATCATGCATATATGGGGTTTAATCTGTGAAGATTGTGATATGAATAAAGTAGGTATTTTTGTATTATTTTCTAATAAAGAGGTGGTTCACGCTAGGAGATTAGTATATTGTTCGCGAGGTACCCTTGATAGTCAGACGTGACTAGCTAGTGTTATTATACTGTTTTTCGTCGGAGAGGATTGCTTTGAATGCGTGGAATACGTATACATGCAGGCTTATGTTGAGACTGGTGGCGGCTTGAACTACTTCCAACGACGTTGGGATGAGATATATGTGAAACTAGTTAATTCTGATTATTCTTCAAAAACCAAGTCCGGTGGTTGCGAGATTGAAGCACAAATTGACAAAGGTGACAGTCCTAAATATATTGCAACAATCAAACTCGAGCATGGTTCATGAAGCACGCAAGTACATGTATATATCGTTACGCACCCCCTGTCTACCTCGTGCCATGGATAGTCAACCCCATTTCTGATGCTCCGTGTCAGATGATATTTCAAAGTACTGTATTGTTTAGCATTGCTTTTTAGGGCACGTTTAGTTCCTAAATTTTTTTTTAGGTTTGGCTACTGTAGCACTTTCGTTTGTATTTGGTAATTAGTATCTAATTATGGACTAATTAGGTTCGAAAGTTTCGTCTCGCGATTTCTCACCCAACCGTGCAATTAGTTTTTTTTCTACATTTAGTACTCCATGCATGTGCCGCAAAATTCGATGTAACACTTTGGGGTGAAAATTTTTAGAATCTAAACAGGGCCTTAGTCTTGCGACCCATCGGTCGGTCTTGTTTCTTCATTGTCATTTTAATTAATAATTGAGTTGTTTTTTCTTCTTTTTACTTTTGATGGAAAACACCAGGATGTGATTCGGATTTAGAAATCATGGGGCGATCTAGTCCTTGTTAGTGTGTAACCGAAGTTCACGTCATATTTTTGGCAACTGAACTAGGACAAAAGTGGTTCAATCTACAAACAAGTTGTCGCTCGGTTGTAGGAGACGTGATGCCTAAGAAGTAAAAACAACTTGACCTCTAAAACCTACTTATCAAAACCTATGCATGATATCTATCTAAATTTACACTATGCTTTTGCTAAGTGTTTGCTATATATCTCTACCATAGAAGAGTTTTGCACCTAGGCCCAAATCCTATCAACTAACTTAGCAAGTTAGAGTAGGAAGGTGCTTATCATAAAAGGCGGAAAAGACGGAGTGGGCGAAGGGCAAGCTGGCGGCGACAACGCTTTACGGCCTAGGGTTTGATTTTCCAATCACCACTAGACCATGGGGAGAGTCTGCGAGCAGCGAGGTGTTGATCAGTGCCTCCAAACCTTTTGCGCCATGCTGCGATTCGATAAGGGTTTCGTGGGGTCGCCTCTCAGGCGATTACGATGCGAGAACTTTCCGATGTTGGGTCATGAGTCGTGGACAGGGCAGGCTCTAGAGACCGCTGCGATCACACAGTTCTTTGGCGAATTTTGGCGGATATACGGCAATATTAAGGGACCCAAAACCCTGGTGTGTGGTGCGGAAACCCTAAAACTCAAGATTCCTCGTTACTGGTACACGGTTGCCTAGTCGTTAGATCGTGCATTTCTCCGTTTCTTTTTCGGTGCGAGCACCGGACAAATCGATGTGGCTTAGAACTCTCCGGTGGGAGGTTAAAATACAAACACCCCCCCTTGAGCGCATGCCCGGTGCTTCTCCCGGGGATACCACCGGACAAATCTGGTGGGTGCAGGAGCTCTACGGTCCGTGATCGAGAGAGGTTTTCGTTGCATCGGAAAACTCCAGTGATGCGCACCGGGTTATCTGATGACGCCATTCAAATTCCCCGTGTTAGGAACAGTATGAGCATTTACTCTAGTGTGGTAAGTGGGGGTACCACCGGAGATTTTCGATGAATACCCCGCTGCACAATTAACAGCCCCAGCATGACCTCTTTCTCCTATGACTACCTATCCCAAGGCACCAAAAATTCAGGTGGTACTGAAAAATCAGCACCAAGTCACAACTTCGCAAGCATCTCAAATTTGATAACTCCAATATGTTCCAACATGAACATCTTCACCTTAGGCGTTGAGTTAGCTTTTCAAATACATTTTTCACTTGAATCTCGCCACATCACTAGGTCAAATGCATATGCACTTAGATAATTGTTTTGTGTTAGAGTTTCCCTCTTAATAGTACAAATATCTATCTAAACCTAACCACATACTCTATTGCGTCTCGATCGATGAAAATGAAAACCCCTAGCATATACCTTTGCTTTCGGGCTTGTTTTCATCTCTAGTGCACTAGTAGTTACTCAATTACCGAAACCAAGCATAGGGCTTTCACTAGTGCTGATTGTTTCTCTAACGTCATAGCCAAAGCTTGGAGATTTTAAGTAAGAAAAAGGAAAAGCATAATTACTCCAACTCTGGACATAAAAATGTACTTATCCTAATTCTCAATTATCTTCCATTGTTCCATTTTTTATTTGTCTAAAACCATTGTTTCCATATCTGAAATTTGTAGATCAAGAAGTGGCTCAAATCAGCCCGAAACACTTTCCTTCAAGTATCCTTCATACATAGATCAACCTGTCATGGCTAAAGGTAAAAAGAAGGTGAAACCCATAAGGGAGAAGCAAGGGCGAAATAAAAAGGACATAGACATTTCAAATGTGCCACTTGATAGCCCCATGGTGGGTACAAGAAGCAAAACAGGGCAACCCATTTAGCCCTGCAATGAGCACAAGAAGCAAAAGAATGCTAAGCCTATGAATCTCAAACCATGTGAAAATGGTATAAATAATCCTCAAAATGAAATATATCAAAACTAAACACCGTCAGTGGACAAATCTAACAGAAGGGCCAAATAAGGAAGAAAAATTATATTTTAGGCCACATAGGTAAGTTCAAAACTGAAAAGATAAAAAAGGAAGTGGAACTTTTTTAGGGCAATGAAAAAAATCTCTCTATGTTTTTCACCTCAAGTTTTAATTGGCTCAAAAGAAAAGGACAACCCACTAGAAAGAATCTGTCAACAGTAGCCCACGCGGAGGGGTGGTCGACATGGGATGGAAGAAGTCAAATTTAACTCCCTAAACTATCATGGTTGTCCGATTTTTCTCTCTGATCTACAGAAAATCAGTTTTTAACTCCTGTCGGTTTTTATGATGGTTTTGCTGATGTGGCGCCATGTTAGAGGGGATAAATTAAACTAAGTTGAAAGTTCAAGGAGGTAAATCGGACTAGAATATTTTTATAAAAATATCTAAAAATTAAGAAAAAATTTAAAAAAAACTATTCAAAAGTATTTTTACATGTAAAATAATGTAATTAAAAATCCTAAACATGGTTTAATCTTGAAAGATCGTAGAAAATTTATTTTAACTCAAAAAAATTATGAAACTTGTTTTAGATTTCTAAAATCATGCTCTATGTTATGGTGTTTAGCTTGGAATTGTTTGAATCTTAACGGGCTTATTTTGGTTCTTATTTTCTAGTAGAAGCTCTCGTATCCGTTATAATTAGTTGATATGTATCATCTGAACTACACATAAGCGCCCGTGAAGTATCGTCAGGCCTGTAATGGGCACTGGTCACGTGCCCTAGATAAATTTTCAAAGTAGTTGTGTTTAAACTGCGTGGCTACATGCGCCATTTGTTTAATACATTTATTTAAATTTTAGAAACTATTAAATTTAGTTAAGTTTTAGTGCAATGAAGTATGGAGCGTAACATGATAGAAAATCTAGATGGTAGGACATGGGTCATGATATTTGAACAAATAGAATCAAGTTCCATGAACAAGATATTTCAAGCTAGGCACCATAGCATAGAGCATGATTTTAGGGAAAAAATCTAAAACTAGTTTCATAATTTTTGAAGCTAAAATATTTTTTTCTAAGAGTGAACCAGGTTTTAGGATTTTTAGTTGTATTATTTTTTCATGTAAAAAATATTTTTTTGATTTTTTTGAATTTTTAGATATTTGTTATAAAATTATTTTTAGTTCGATTTATCTCCTCGAACTTTTAACTTAGTTTGATTTACCTTCTCTGACGTGGCGCCACATCAGCAACCACCATCAAAACTGCTTAGGGTGCAAAAGTGAATAATTTCCAGAGGATGAGGCGGGTCAAAAAACTAATTTGTAGATGGAGGAAAGTCGGACGACCGCAACAACAATGGGTAAATCGATCCTTTTTTGCATGGGATTGGCGTGTTTTCCCTGCTTAAGGCCTTGTTTGGATACGTATGCATTCATCTCAATCCACATGTGTTGAAGTGGATTAGAATGGAATTAAACTAAGTTCAATTTCAATCCACTTCAGCACATGTGGATTGAAGTGGATACACATGCATCCAAATAAGCCCTAATTTGGGTCTAGGCTTGGTCATCAGAGGCCGGAATGGCGGAACCCAATTCAGAGCTTGTTCGGCTTAATTGGGCCTGGCCCAGCACGGCTTATCTCAGGTACAGGGGCAATTGATGGCTGCGTACGCGTACCCACCTCCTCCTCGCTTGCACGGGCACAGGGGCAAATTCACGTCCTATTGCTGCAACGCATCGCCGTCGAGCAGGACGCTGGGGTTACCGTGATGATTTTTTTTTATTTTTAACACTTTTTTAAACTATTTTTAAAACTGACACTGTTTATTTTTTTCAAAACTAACACTTTTGGACGCACCTATTTGTACGGCACGGCGAAACAACTCTGTCGCGCCATGCATGGCGGCGCGGCAGGGGTGCGTACGTGGCAATGTCCCGCCCTGCTGGTCGCTGACATGGCAGGCCTTGCCGTGCCACCGATCAAGGCGCAGCTGTGACGCGCCACTCGTCGCGCGGCTGTGACGCGCCACCCGTTAGGGCGCAGTAGAAACCAAATAGAGGCCCGCGACCAGTCCCTTTCCTCCCTCTTTGTTTCACTCTGCGCCTCACTGCGATCGCCTCCCCATGCCGCCTTGCCCCCCCGCGCCCGCGTCTCCCAGCCCCACCGCCGCGCCATTGCCTCCCGGCCCCTCACGGTCAGCCGCGAATTTCCCTCCTTCCCGTTCCCTTTCCTAGCTTTTTTCGAAGCTCCTCCTCTCGGCCTTGTCAAGGTAATGAAGCTCCTCCTCGGCCTCCACGGTGAATCGAAGGATTTGAATGAGTAGTTAGGGTATGGAGGAAAATATGAGTTCGTTAGAACGTTGGATTGAAGGATTAGGATTAGGATTGCCAATGTTAAGGTTAATTGGTTAGTTAGAATTATGTTTACCATGTATTTTGCTTGTTTGAGTTTGTATCTCAACTTTTATATGTAAATAAATATATGGACACACTGTTGATGTACCAAATTTTATTTTTTACTGACCAAAGTATAGTTTTTATATAGTTTTCATGTTTGCATCTAAGATAGAGTTTGCAAT